CTGTTTGAAAAAAACTGATCTGGACACAAGGAGAAAAAAGGTACGTCATTCAAAAAATTCAACGATAGAAATTGAGCCAAGCACTGAGTGACAAAGAAGAAGGAGAAGAAGGTCCTTTATTCGTCCCCATTTATTCGTCTCCATACAATTCACAACATGCAAATTGAGATTTGGTTAAAAATATAATAACCCAAAGTAGCACGGTGGCTTCTCAGCAAGAAGGCCCTGGGTTCGAATCCTGGTCGGGAACAGGGCCTTTCTGAGTGGAGTTTGTGTGTTCTCTACAATGGTTCAAAACACGCCTATATCATTGCATTGCAGACTGGGCTTTTATATAAATATTTGTTTTTATGTTTGATTTTTATCATTTTTGTCAAGGTAAACAGAAAAATATAGGTTTTAGGTATGAATAATTCTATGAGTGATCCTGGAAAAGGACATCTCCAGATACCCACTGTAGACCCAATATGGAAGTTTGAGCAACACTGTACCAGGTCCCAAAGGTCGACAATAAGAAACCTATCCTTCCACTGTTCTGTATGCGGCTTAATCCAAACATAAAAACGCCAGTTCGCAGCCCTCTCCGGTGGGCTGAGCTGTAAAGAGCCTTTGACATTTACAACATTCAGAGCAACATGAGCTTAAAAATGGAAATAAAAACTGCCAGCAGACCAGAAAAAGTGCACCAGCTCCATCTGTTTACACATATCGTCTGCTCAGCATCAGGAGAGCCTCAACTGCTTCTTACCCCACGCCTCGGTGAAACAACACATCTAGATTACAGTATTCTTGAGCTGTGGAAGGCAGAAGGCAGCCTGTGCTGTTAGCCCTATGCCTCCCATGCAAGTGCAACCCAAATTAATGTCCATAAAGAGCAACCATGTGGGATTGTTTCAATGTCAATGTTTAAGGCTTTCATAGAGAGATCCCATTAAAGAAATGATTGATTTTTGAATGTGTTAAATACTTACTGCAAATGGCAAATAAATGAATCTGAATCTGAAATACAGAATCTACTCAAGACATTTACAAATCTATAAAGTGCATTCTTCATGTTCTGGCCTCCAACTCATTTTTAGGCAGGCGTTTGAAATCAGATACAAAAAAATCCACCAATCATTACTCAGCCACCAATGCAAAGGATAACATGTTTTATAATGAGATAAAGAAAAGACAATGTTGAGGTTTTACAAGACTTTTTCTGTTGCATGTATTATTTATGACCAAAGTTAGATACCCCATGTTAAAATACATTTTTTTGTATGATAACTGTAAAAGACAACCAACAAAAAAAACACTTTTCCGGTCCTTCTTAAAGTCTGGTGGACTAATTCAATTCAATTCAATGTCTTCTTGTATAGCCCTAAAACACAACAGTAATTATCTCTGAGGACTTTACACAGCCGTTGAATTTGCCAACACAGATAAGTTAAAACACAAGAAATAAAACAAAAAACACATTAGTATTGGTCCATAGACGGCAGATGACCAGTGTTCATAAGTGTTGATAAATGTCTATAAATGATCACAAAACTAATAAGGCCTTCTCATAATAAACGTGTTCGGAGAAGCCTTGGTCGAGAAGCAATTTACAGTTTTCCCACCTTCCTCACTTCTCAGCCACATTCCAGACATAACCCCGGATGGCACTGCACCGGCTTGGGTTTCAGTCCAACAAGAGCATCAGTGGTGACAGTGGACACCCCTGCCTCGGTTCTCTCTCAGTTCCGAGCCAATGCCTACATATGTCGCTCTCCCGTAGGCGCAATTCTGTAACTCAATTGGCTTGGCCCACAGTTTGAATGATATTAATGTGCTTTTAGTGTAAGAAGTGCAGTTCCCAGGCTCTGCAGACCACCCCACTCACCACAGCTGTCTACGGTGGCCCTATTGGCTCATCTTCAGATAATCCTATTGTAAAGATACCGAGAAGAGAGTCTTATCACCGCAGCCTCCCGCTCTGTTATCAGCAGACGGGTATTGAGTGAATGTTTCAGGATGTCGAACGCATTAAAAGAGTCTCAGAGGAAATCCAATAGTTTAAACAGTAAAATGAAGTGATACCGCCCCATATGTCTAATTCAATTATAAGTAAATAAACCAAAGCTTCCCAGCTTTCATCTTGGGATCTGGTTCTAGTGTGTAATGTGAAGGGAAATAACTGCCATTGTTGATCCAGAAACATTTGGTTTAATTTTTACCAATTTCTAATGTATTTTAGGGTTTGCAATTTAAATATGCGTCTTCCTGACACTGTAGTTTTGACCAGTTTAAAGACAGATTTTTGAATGTTTTTTTTTTTCTGATAAAGCACAACTCACAGTTTTACACCTTGAGGTAATTCACTCTGGATATAGTAATCACACATAAAAAACAATTATTCAGTAATTAATTTAATTAATTAATTCCAGGGTCTTTCCCAACGTAACTTACTCAATCAATCAAACTTTTTACTTTGCTTTTTGTTATTAAACAAAGCCATGACTAATGCCCTTGATTTCGTTTTGTGGATTTCTCCAGTCAAAATAGGTTTGACTCTTTGCAACAATTGTAGCAGTAGATTTAGATATAAATCTAGCAGAATATAATTTCCCACGTGTACCACTAGATGGCAATGTGTAGTCATTAACCAATCCATTACTCAAATTTATCCCTACTTTCTACTAGATTTCATGTTCTAAACGATAAAATGAATGGCGAAAATATATACAAATGATTCATAATGTCAGATTTTTTTTAAAGACTTTTTTGTCTTTTTAAAACCATTGTAGTCGACCACTTCATAGACAACTTCATTATTTGATTTCCAGACCCTGTCTCCATCTCTGGCTCAGCACACAGACTTCGGCTGGACCCCTGACCTCCAAACGGCACGGCACCTTGTTGACGTTAAAGCGAACGGTGGCTGCTCTTCGCCAATCGCCAATAAAACCCGCCCTGCGATTTACCCTCACGTCTGTCTGTGCCAAGAATAAGGCGAATGGAGTTAAACTTGTCCTTGGCAGAGTCGTGGGTCTGATTCCTTGATTGTGCCGAAGCCAAGAACATCCATCCCCACAGCGTCTCTCTCTCCACCAGAGCACCGCGAGCTGAAGTCCACCGCCCTCATTTTGTTGTGTGTTTGTGTAAGCGCTTTTTCTGAGGGCGAACATGTGTTGTGGCTCATCAAGCAGAACATGGAAACTGTGAGTGGCTGCAGATGTGAAGGACGAAGGAGGAAGAGGAGAGACGGGATGAAGAGAGAGAATGCTGCAGACGGATCCTACCGCACATGTAGGGATGTAGGTCACAAGGCCATTTTACAATAATAAGGAAATGCCTTCACTGCAAAAAGTGAAAATATAGACTAGATAGATTGATAGATACTTTATAGATCCCCTGTAGGATACATTAAAATGTCCAGCAGCAGAAAACACATGCATAAATACATCAATTACAAATATTTCTAACTATCAACCTAACAAAGTGCATATACAGTAGATCAGCCATTCCCAAACTCAGTAACACCGAGGCCCCCTTAAAAATCTGACGGGTCTGCGTGGCCCCCCAAAATAATATCCAAGAAGACAACATTAAGAATAGGCTCTTCTGGTTATTTTATTTTGGGGAAATAGCCTCTGCTACAAACATTGTAATACAAAAATGATTACAGAGGATTATTCAAGTCAAATAATGAACACAAATATTTTAATATTACAAACAAAACATTATAAATTTAACATTAAATAAGTATATTATTTTTTTTATGACCTCCCGCGGCCCCCCTGCAGTACCCTCGCGGCCCACCAGGGGGCCGCGGACCCCACTTTGGGAGACACTGCAGTAGATTATTGTAACTTGATTTGAGTGTATTTATATAAACACACTAGTCATACTATTACTTATTTTTAATTTATTTCTTCATGTTGCCTTCCTCAGGGACATAAGACTCATTCTGCTCTGTTTTACAATCATATTAAGGTGTCATTTTCTAATTGAAAGTTCGCTTTTAGCTCATTCATTTCATCTGGTAAGTTACTTCATTCATTACTTAGTAGAAGTGAATTTTTGCTTCTATGAGTAAATGCTTGGACTGAACCAAAACTAGACTGGGAGACTTGCTCTTGCAAATTTAGGGACCTATCAACAATATTATTGCATTATGGGCACAGTTATTCAAATCATTTTTATGCTTGTTTTTTTTTTTTGGGAGAAAAAATCCATTTGAAGTACCCTCTGTAATACCCGTGAGTACCCCCGGTTGGGAAACACTGATGTAGAGGAATACAGTATTTGTTATGAACCAGAACTCAATGAACTATAGTTTATACAAAAATAAAGACAACTTTGTGTGGTTTTACAAATAGAATAACATGTGAAATCATTATCAAAAAAAGCCATATATACGGCAACAATATTGTGTAATTTTGAAGACAAAGTGGAAGTGTGGTTTGGACTCGTTTGTGATCTCAAAAAATTCATGCAGAACGTTAGAAAACTCCAAAAACACAATTATTCACAAGATAATCCAGATGCCTTGGGTTTGACGCTCTTGGCTCCACAGTCACATCTGGTACAACAGGAACGAGTAGCTTCATGGTTCATGGTTATCAAGAGTTGTGTTGGATGAGGTTAAGATATGAGTTTGACAATCATAAACAATATCTGGAGGTAAAGGTATAGCGCACCGCACATAGTGATCCTCAAACACTGCAGATACTTCCTTCTTGTACTTGAAATATGGTTAATGCTTGATTCTAGTTCAAATCCCAAATCTCGCAGCGTTTCAATGCAGTAATTGTTGTCTAACCAAACGAACACTGGTGGTATTATAATGTGTTCCACTGGATATAAAATACAGCAAAACCCGCTAAATAGAACAAAAAAGTGCTGATTCTCTGGTCTGGAGTCTGGATATCCCCCCAGCGTGAGAGTGGAAAGAGAAATGCCTCCAGCGCGTGGGCGTTCAGACACTGCTGTCCATTGATAATGCAATTAGCAGAAGTTCATGCAGCAGCACATCATGACTGATCCCCACAGCCCTGACCAGTCCCCGCAAGATCCCCGTGGAAATCGCCCTGGTATCCGGACGTCCACCACTGAAGAGGGGGGCAGAGGGGCAGGGTGTGGGACCAAACACTGACCCTGGGAAACACATCAAGAGTCTGTGGTCTTAGGAATCTTTCACCACCATCCAGGGGTTCTCACACTGGGGCCAAAATGCACCTGTTTTTATAGTGTTTGGAAAAAAACTCAAAAGACACAACACAATTCAATTCTCCAACGGCCACACAATACAACTTACTGTACTCTTCTTGCAGTCTTACTTTCTAGTAGATTGAGAAAGTTAATTATATCATTTTGAAGTACATCTTCTAAAGGCTTATTCCCGAGGAGCAAAAACACCTTTGTCTTACACTGCTTCCTTACACTTTAACCCGCCTTGAGACCTTGTCATTCTGCTGAGGCGTGATCACGGTGAACTCTCATTCCAAATTTAGTGGTAATTTAGGCAGATATAAAATTGAACTTTTGTGCATGTGAAGCAGGTGTAGAATGTCAGATGAAACTACACACAAGTCTCACAATACTTTGCAAGCAGAGTAACAATACATTGAAACATGTCTGTATTTCTCTGTGTGGATGATAAACTTGCTGCAGTCCATTCTAACACAATTCCCTCTGATCCCGGGTGACTTTAAAAGACTTACTTTGAAAGTCCGAGGTTTTTTTTGACACATAACCTGCACAGGTCCAAACAACACGCCAACCTTTCCCACTGTAGTCCTGGGTCGACACAGCATTTCAACGTAGATCCAAAAACACACAGTTGACAGAACATAAACATTTAGCATTATACATTCAACACTATGCTACTGGAAGAAACCAGAAACACACAAAAGCACGTATTGAAAATGTTTTAAAGTTTTGTTTCCATGTGTGCTTGTAATAAACCTGAAACTAACAAAAACCAAAGCAATTCATTTGGCTTCTGGTGTTCATTTTTCATGTCAAACAGCAATACTAAACCCACTAATACAATGATGTCATACTTTGGAGGTAGTTTTTTTTCTCACGCACGCCTGGTCATACATCCTCACATGTATTTGATAATGCCTCCATCTACATCTACATATATATGTCTTTACGACCATGGGAACGCGTACATGAATGCAGCGGTACTAGCGATCTCTCAGCATTGTCCCGACTTTCTCACACTACCCCCTTTCTTACATATGCACCTGTTTGTCTGAGCTGGTCCAGTTCTGGGGGTCGTGACGCTCCGTGCCGCTGCAGTTGTTGTGTCTGGAGCGTGTGAAATCTTTGCAGAATAAATCATGGCTCAAAACCTGGTGGGTTTTCATTTCACTTAAGTCCCGGCACCACATTTATTTTGGATGTTCTGACCACAGAGGGACGTCGAGGGCCAAATATCTGCGAAACTGCTCTGATACTTTGGAGGCATGGGAAGGCCTCCTCCACGGCTCGGGTTTCTGGTCATTTCCTGACACCGTTAGCCTTAAGGAGAGAAGGTGCGGAGACGTGTCTGAAAAGGACTCGTGGAAGAGAATATGGATAGCTTCAACTTGTGTTACTCAATTATGTGAAAACAGTCCTGAATCTAACGCATCACACAAGTAAAAATACTGAAAATATATGTTTATGATCAATTGATTCGACGTGTGATGTCTCAAAACTGTCCATTTTAAGTTCTGCTTTTGTATTTGTGCTATTGGAATGTATTTTTTCTCAGAGGCAGCTGTTGTTGTAAATGTGCTTCACAAATAAAGCTGATATCAACATTTCAATCCTATAGTCATGATGAAAAGCAATGCACATTTTTCTTCTTTTGATAAAGATGTAGGAGCAATACTTTTGTTTTTTAACCTCTTGTTTTTTCATTATAGGTCTTTGCAGCTAAAATGCAGCCCGATGGTAGTCGTGCCTAGAACCTAGTGATAGAGATTCCCCAAAGAGGTATCTCAGTTCCAAGCTTCAAGTAGATAGAGACTCAAAAAATGATCCACCAAATCATTGAGGAAACAAATAAAGGATTAAAGTCAGCGTCAACTCAACAAAACTCTTTTCGACTCCGAAAATGTAAATAATCTTACAGTGTAAGAAGATGCGACGCAGTCCTCTGATTGATCTACATAATGGAATATGGAATGCAAATGTCCAGTATTTTGTTACTAGACAATAAATAAAACAATTGAATACTATAAATACAAAATACTAATATTCTTTCCACTGCAAATAACCCAAATTTAAAGACCCAAAGTCCTTAAAGTGGGAGTCATTCTGGACTCAAACAAACCAAACGTGAAATCCCGACGCTCTTAATGCTTGTGTGCAAACAGACAATGGCCTCTTCTTCAGCTGCAGAAGCCGCAGGTTTCACTACAGCCCACATTTTGCCAGATTTTTTTCGCCATGCTTTTCTGCTCGTCAAGAGAACACTTAAGCTTGTGCATCCGAGGGTTTTATTTTGATTAATTCAATCACTGATAGAGACAGACGTCCATGTACCGCTATAGGCTCCTTCCTGCAGGACCATGGCATGAGTTTGTAATGGTTTGCACAGAGAGGAAAACTATGTTAATATTGTGGAAAAGCCCGCATTTGGAGCAGAGACATAACACACAGGTCTGTGGAGAAGGCCGCGCTGAATCATGATGCAGAGGCAGATTGTATTGTTCTGGGACAACAGGTCGACAGGACGTCCACTCTTTAGAAGTTTGCATTTTCAAACAAAGTATTTGAATTCTTTGTCTTGTTTTTAAAGGTGCACCACATTCTCTCATGTAGGTCTGCCTGCCTGCCTGCCTGCCTGCCAGTTATTTCTGTCTGTCTTTTTTTAATACATTTTTTTGTCTGCATTTTGAGTCCTCCCTAAAGTTTATGTAATGCCTCTTCAATGTTGTCTACACTAAACAAATAACATGAATATCTTAATAAAAACAACATGATACAGGCTTAAGAAAACACTCATCTCCCAATCAAATGAAGACAACAGAAAAGTTACAGCCACAGATTATAGATGAGACGACCATTGATGAAGTGACTCTGTTGGTCTCTTTACCCTCAACAGCAATCGGCAACAAAACATACACCTGTTTTGTTTTTTGTTTTTCTCTCTGGACTAGCATTATGTGAGGAAACTGTTGTGCAATTGACAAGAAGACACAGAATGAAATCCACATTTGTAATCTCCCATGGTCCTGCAGGCCCTGTTGGCTCCTGTTTTGCTCTTGGACTCTGGGACTGGCTTTGGTCTCGGGTGTCTGGTTCAGCTCTCAGACAGACGTTTATCTCCAGCGTTGGGATGAGTCAGTTCTTGTGGATCAGACGTGGACACGACCAGAGCTGATGACTTCGTTCAACACTATGTGGACCTCAGTTTTGGTTTTCTCTGTTGGGACGATTGCAAAGACGTGTCATTTAATCATATCTGTTTCCTGTCTTAAACCACTGACCACGAGAGGCGTGTTTAGTACAATATCTGTATGACTCAGATTGGATTTCTGTTATTTTAATCAACAGGAAACTTAGACTTAGACAGACTTTATAGATTCACAAGGTAAATTGCATTGTCACAGTAAATGGAAAATGAACCAGGCCATGTAAACAATGTCAAAACCAAGCACAATGGGAAATGAAAACTTGGGCCAAATCAAATGAATTCCTTTTATTTAGCAAAAGGCAGAGTGTGTATCTGTCCATCAGGCCAGATTCACCAGATCCAAAACCAGGGGAAAAAGTTATCTACAAACTTGACACACAAAAACCTCACATCACTCAAGAGCACACAACCAGAAAAAGTATCCATTTTAAAATACACATTACATCTGCTAATCTTCACAGAGAGGAGGTCGAGTCCACAGTGTTCAATTATTTCTGTACAACGGTTGCTGTCTTGGTTGAATAATTGTTTTGCTAATTGTGGATTATACATTCAAGCAACCACCAATCAAAGCAGACGTTGGTCAAGACAAACAGATACAAGTGTGCATGACAAATTTGCAATCCATTGATTTTAGACTGTCCTTCTGCAAGAATAAAGTAAAACAAACTGGTGTGTGACTATATATAGAGTACTATGTGGGCGGCACGGTGGCTGAGTGGATAGCACTCTCAGCAAGAAGGTCCTGGGTTCGAATCCCGGTCGGACCAGGGTCTTTCTGAGTGGAGTTTGCATGTTCTCCCCGTGTCTGTGTAGGTTTCCTCCGGGTACTCCGGTTTCCCCTACCTCTAAAAATATGTCCAATAGTTCTGGCATTGGAACTATGGGTATACTCCGCTCCAATCTCTGTGTGGAGTGAGAGGACAAGTGCCCAAAATGAACAATTGTAAACCGCTTTGAGACTCAGATCTGCAGTGAAAATAATATTATATAAATAAAGATTACTTACTATAATATATAAGAATGTGTACAAATGTAAATAATATACTACCAGGATAGGATGTAATTGTAAATATTATAATGCACATAGAAGAAAAAGAGTAAAAGTAAAAATAAAATCAGCGATCCACTCTCATGGACGGAGTGGCTGTAGATGAGTCCAAGTGAGATAGAGTTCAAGTCTGTTTAGGCTCATCTGGGGTGGGGAGAAGGCCCCCAGGGAGGAGTGGAGGGACTGGGAGTCTGAGGGTCTGGTCCACAGGTCCAGGCCAGATCTGTCCCACACACTCATACACCATTGGACACACACACAACTGCGTTTCCATCCATATAAAAAGCATGAATTTAATGTATTGTGACAAATTGTTTAATTCTTTGAACTGAAAATGTGTTTTTAATCCCCTGCTCACCCACCAGTTATCCACGTTTACTTTCATGCTGCAGCTGCTGATGTAAAAGCACCTCTAATAATATCGATGACGGCCGTTATTTGCTTTTCTCTGCATCTTTTCACCACGTTCCCATATAATAATCCCAATATAGCGACTGCAGTGACTCGGACGACAATCCCTAACCCCATCCTCACCTTTTTCTCTCCACTCAGACTGGGCTGATACCTAATCAAGACCTATTTAGAGAAATCCACTGTAATAAAGTGTGATGTGAGGCCAGTGAAAACACAAGGCCGGTTACATAAGGAGAGACTGCTTTATTGACAAATGCTTTCTGGACGCACGCTGCTTCCCAAGGCTTTTATTTATTTTCATTTGTATCTTGGTAGTTTGCCTTCAGCTCTGTGCCAAGAGTGAACACACGGCAAAGAGCAAAAACAACACAATGGTTCAGACGTAATTCATCCACAAAGGTCTTCAAAATATGCTATAGTATTTCAATAAATCCACTTTCTCCATGTCAGGACCTACTGGAAATTAGTCGAATCATAAATTATTCTAATCTATTGGGTGCAGCCTTCAGGTTGTGACAAATGTACGTTGAGTTATGGGGATCGCTGCCTGATTTCTATCAAAGTCTCGTGTTTTATGAGGGTGTGACGCACAAATCTGTCTCGACTTAAAATTTGCGTTTGTGGAATTTAGGCATTGTTTCGGCAACAACAGTCACCAGTAAATCTCAAACATCCAGAACATATGTTTGTAATCCGACCCTAATAAATATTTAAAATGTGTTGACAATAAAATGGAACAAAAGGAGGGTTGCCACATAAAGCGATTGAAAGTAAAACGTGAAAATGAGAAGAGAATGTTTTGAGTTTGTGGATTTTTATATATAAAGTAATTGTGCTGAGATCCTCTTCTGGATTATTGTTACATTGTTTGTACATTTTAATTCTCAGTATTGATCTAAAAACAAGTCCAATGATTATTATTAGTATTGAAAACTGCAGCACCATTTTCAAAGTTGTATTGCTTTAAAAAAGATATTATCAAAGTAGCAAAGATTTCAAGTTTACTTTTTGCTTGTTGGCCCCAAAAAAGTGTTGTTTATGAAGAAAGAGTTGGATTGCTAAACCAATGGGGAGGGGCTCACATGCTAATCAAAAAGTCTGTTTAGATTGATCATAAAAACCGAGAAGGAGCATGTACTCAATTCACATTTACTTATAGACAAAAAAAGAGGAATTGGTCTGAGGCACTCTGACTTTACTTTAAAAAAAAATTATTGTGGAAGGGACATAGCGACGCGTTTCAACCACTTTCGATCTTCATCACGGAAATTCAACATTTATTTTTGTTTTAAATAAACACATACAATTCAAATCCAGGCCGAAAACGTTCTTGTATCAAAACACAATCAATGCGTCCCATTTTTTCAGAAAGTTTTGAAGCAGTTGTGCGTAACTAGAACAGCCTTAAGTGTTGGTTTTTATCTCTGCAGCTTCCATGTTGTGGCTCAGATCAGGCAGGTGCTGACAGGCTGACCCCGGGATCCGCATCTGGACCTGAGCCAGCCTCATAAATCTGTCCTCAATCTAAATGCTGCCAAAATCAACAGCTTTAATCAATCATACGATCTCAAATAACCTGGAGTTGGGTGTGTCCCTTTCTATTAGAGAAACCAGTGCAGACAAAATGAATTGAGCTGGTATTATGGGACTGGCAACCTCTTTCATTTCCAAATGTTCAGCTGGGTTCCTTTGAGGCCTTGAATCAGAGCCCGAATTATCAAAATAGAATATGTTTCAGGTTAAATAAATAAAAAAAGCATGGTAACAGAAGAATTGTCATGCATCTGCAGAATATTGTTTCTTAAGGTTTTTCAATTCAACTTTATTACAGACTCTAGCTCCAATTTAAAACACAAAGACAAGACAAAAGAAAGAATCCAACACAACATTATGGCCAGTCTGATCTCATTACTGTTTACCGCTTGGTGCAGTGTGAATTTTCCTTCTTTTTAACAAAGGTAAAGGCTTTTTTACATTGTGTACACACCAAGACCCCAAATGATTTTATTTGAACAATGAATGAAAGTCTAATAAGATAAAACGGAACAATATAAACCCGGAAAATGTAAAAAAAAAAAAAAAGTTGTCTTAAACCAAAGGTAAACAATTGTATGAGAATCAGCTAACACAAGCACACTACCAGAACACTTTTGTTTTCTATGAGGAGTTTGCACGTTCTCCCCGTGTCTGTGTAGGTTTCCTCCGGGCGCTCCGGTTTCCCCTACCGCTAAAAACATACACAATAGTTCTGGCATGCGACTCTGCTCCCATGTGTGGAGTGAGACACAGATGCCCACGCCAAGATGGGAACCGATTTGAGAGCTCATGGGGAAAGAGTCGGTATGCTGGTTTTAGTTGGGAAAATCTAAATATTTTACAATGTTGAAATTTCAGTGTTGCATCCAGTTACAGAACAGTAGGAATGAGGACCACACAGCACAAGATAAATGAATGATAACTCTATAAAAAAAGCATCATTAATTGTATAGATTCATCTCGATAGAATGTCCGTAACATAAACTGACCTGCCCAGTGGTTTGTCTTTGGGGCGGTGATGATAAAAAGGTGTTGAATGAAGTTTTGGACTTTTAAGAAGATGGTTTAAATCTTCCGTCAGGCGACACTTCACTTCAAGCTGCGCCCCTGACCCCTGCTCCAAACAAACAGCACTTCATGACCTGTAGGAGCCATATACAATCACTACAACCAGGTGCTGTTGGATACGTCTTCAGCAGGGGTGTCAGACTGGGTCGAGAAACTGCCGGCGTGGCTGCAGGTTTTCATTCCAACCAAGCAGGAGCACACCAGAGTCCACCCATCTCTTCAGGTAAAGACTGCAGAATCACTTGAGGAAAGGTTAAGACTAGAGTCAATTGAGGAAATGGGTGAAGTCTGATGTGCTCCTGCTTGGTTGGAACGAAAACCTGCAGCACTTTGAGGACCGGTTTGACAATATCTACTGTATATCTGTTATCATTCTTAACGCATTAATCACATAACGTGGAACCAAACTTGGATGAAAACCAGGCCCAGGTTTTGAAAAAAAAGACATATAAGACAATCTAATTAGCTAACTTTTTGGCATCACAGAGAGTTTACCTGTGTGTTCTGTGGCACCACCTGCATGCATGTAGTCAGACCTCTGAAGCTAAGCAGTATAGGGTCGGGTTGGCAATGTGATGGGAGACCACTGTGAACCCTTTAGCTGCTACAGTGGAGCAGCTGCAGATGTAAAGTGCCAAACTGTAGCTGTGTCCAATAGCAAGACACGTCACTCACTTTGGTTGCCTTGCTTCTCAGAGACTGCCCCAGGGCTTCTGTGGCTATAGTAGACTGTGTCACCAGAGTATGCTATGTGAAGCTACGTCCTAAAAAAAGTCCAAGTATTTTTAATTTTTTTTCAATTGTGGACATGACAATACATTACATGCTACAATTACATTTCAAATAATTGTAGTCATGTGACAAAAATAAAAAGGAGCAGACAGACGAGCAACCACTTGTGGACAACAATGTGGCTTCAAATAAATAAATCAAAACAAAAATCTAGTATAAAACCTAATTTAGCTTTAAACACCATCACAACAAAGTGCTCACATAAAGTGCTTGTGCGACATAGCAACATTCAACTACATGTGCAGAAGAAGAAAAACAAAAAGGCCTAATGAATTACTAAGTGACGCTGGGAGCAATCATGCCGCAAAAGTGACTCATAAATATCCATGAGTCATTTTAAATACAACTTATACGAGTGGGTAAAGAAGAAGAACATTATGTGACGTGGGTTAAAAGCTTGTAAAGGTCAATGAATACGTGCCCTTTAATACGGTAATCATGATAAGTGATGCTGGAACAATGTGAGGCAAGTTGGCGACGCTTCACAACTGGATCATCCGATTCTTTCAGACGGTATTTACATTTGGGTGAGCTCTTTTACTCCACAAAGTTAATGTGTCGTGAAAAGACCTTGTAACTTTCTCTTTCACTGCTGCTCGGTGACTCATTCTGCGCTGAATAGAAGCCTCTGGTCTGATTCTATAACGTGGTTTTTTGTAGATTACTTCAGGATGTTCCTTTCTTCCAAGGCTCTTCTGGAGAATGTTAGAAAATATAAAACAGAAAATATTGATTATACTTTGTTTTGTGTGGTGCGGAAGCAAAAGCAGAGATTTCAGACTGATCCAATCCAAATGCTTTCCTCTATAGAACATTAGAATATCGGAAATGCCATTTTGTGGGTGTTCCCTCAGTTTATAAACTTTTTTCCTAAATAACAAGTTTTTTCCAACAGAGAAAAGTAAAGAGTGCTCTCGACTCTCAGCAAGAAGGTCGTGGGTTCGAATCCCGGTCGGAACGGGGTCTGCCGGAGTGGAATTTGCATGTTCTCCCCGTGCTTACGTAGGTTTCCTCCGGGTACTCCGGTTTCCCCTACGACTAAAAACATGCACACTAGGTTTAATCCTCCAGCTCTGTAGTCCTGACCAAGCCGAGCATCAACATCTGCAGATGGGTTCCCGGGCGCTGTTACTACGGTGACCACTGCTCCTGACGTAAGCCTTAGCGGCATCAGGATGGGTCAAATGCAGAAGATTGAATTGCCCTACGGGGATCAATAAAGTGCACCTCTATCTTTAAAATTAGACCACAACATGCAGTCTTTAAAAATATTATTTTATTTTTTATTAACATTTTATTCAACAATACAAAAGATAGACAAAAATATGACAACATAATACAAAAAAAAACTACAAAAGGCAACAAAGAAACCGAAGGTGCAGAAAAAGGCCGGAGCTTTTTTAAATAACATTTCACATTTAGTCCAACAGAGAAAAGTAAAAATACATCTCGTCCATATCTTCATCTTCTGTGAACGCGTTACATACTTATACATTCATGGGTAAAATAGTGATATAGCTAGTTGTAAATCTAGAGTTATACTTTCATCGTTTGTGGGTTGAAAGTTAGGTACCTCAGCTTTACGAAGCACCTTGTACACATGACGATATGGCCTGGCTAACACCCGACTACGTACTGTATATCAAGTGACATCTGGGAACCGTCTGTTCATTTTCTTGTAGGAAAAGTGGGCTGTTGTTCATAGCCTTTCATTGGGTGCTACGAATGTCTGCCATATGCGTCTGCACGTATCCACAAATCGTATCAATTCTACTCAATGACGTGAGTTGGGCAAGTTAATTTTGCAGAGAAGGGAAGAAGCAAAAATGACACATTTTATTTACACAACGGTGCCAAATGGTTACCTGACGCCTACTTTCATCTGCTAGATCTGTAAACAAACTGCAAGCTAGTAGTTTTAGTATGTCATCATCATATTGCCATTCCTACCGTTCTGTGATTAGTCCCAAATCGATTTCCAGGCTAACATGGAACAGAAATGAGACAGAATCATTGCATAGAAATCCAGTCTCAGTCTCAGTCTATTCAATTCCATTCAATTCTTGTATAGCTCTGAATCAGTGGTTGTGGAGCTATTGGTCCATAAGGGTAACCAATGTCCATAAATGTTGATAAATGTCCAAATGTCGAGTGTCCTGGATCATCACCACTGTCCTTAGACCCTCCAAGGACAAACATACTAAAACCATGCATCAGCTGGTTTTAGTTTAAAGTCTAACATACTGCATAGATCTGATGCTTGTCACCTTATATTATGTAACTATACCGTGGCCCCATAGCACATATCTGGACTTAAAAACACCTTGGCTTCCTCCGGCTCTTGCATCCCTGGCCCCGGTCACTTCCCGTGGTTCAGCTCAGCCCTGATAGCCGTGTGTCCGTCCCACTGCGCTGATCTTTGGCCTCCTCAGCGGATAAGGAAGTGTCAAAGGGAACAGCGGTGGTCCTCTCTCCTCTGTATAGCTGCATTGAGGCCTGCGAGGTCTCTGACTGTATCGACCCCAGCACATGTGTTTCCTGTTGTTTTCCAGTCTGCCGTCGGTGTATCGGCCCTTAGCACCAGAGCTGGGGCCTTTTCCTGGAGCTTTGTTTGGATTTGGCCCCTGAGAATGGCTTAAATTTAGGTGAGACTGAAGAGTAGTGAGTCACAGTCAGTGCAACCAAAATAAGCTTGATTGAGGTATCAGCGAGTAAGGCATCTAAAAAAAAGTAACCAGCTTCAACACTAGAACTCTCAGAGCAGTCAATTTGACGGCTTTGAGTTCTGGAAGTGTTTTTACCCACCATATGTACATGTTTAATCTTCATAACTTTTTTCTGTCTTTATATGTAGTTTCTCCACCATTATTTTTATGATTTTTTTTATTTATTATTGACACGATACCAGTCTATTACTATAGTTACCATAGCAACACACTGTTTACTTGCTAGCTGTCAGCATTTGGTAGCCTGCTTTTTTTCTGTATTTCAAGTTATATTCACCAGTAGAAGCTCTTAGTAAAAGTGAGTTAAGGTAAAAAAATTAAAATAAAAAGTGTGGAAAATTGGAATGGGAGCAGTCAAAGTGACGGCTCTGGAAGTTCTAGTGAAATCATAATTCTGGGAGTCCTAATGTTACTATTTCACACAGGAATTTAGCGAGATGTGCTTTACAAAGTTGTGGTTTTAAAGTTCACCAGCTTTAAGTACTATTACTTACTTGCCTTCACAGCATTTGATTTTACTTTTAGCTTTTGTTGTAATTTGTACATCAAACCAACGCTGAAGGTGAAACCCTTGTTAACGTCCTTCTGCAGCGTCTAAATGTGTTTGCACACCGTACAAAACTGAAACTGAAAACATCAGTTCTCAACAGCAAAGAGAAATAATCTTGGATGAATAAAAGAATGTTGTTTTTCAGACCTTGCCTCCTGAACACTCTCTTTGTGCTGAAGTATGACGAGGCGCTCCACATGAAAAGACCTTGTAACTTTCTCTTTCACAGCTCCTCCATGATTCATGCTGTACTCCAGTCTCCTCAAGTCTGATTTTCTAACATGGTTCTGCGTAGATTGTTTCAGGATGTCCATTTTCTCTGATGCATTTCGAAAGCATTCTGTGGGCTGCTTCAAACTGGACCAATTACTGCAATTCTGGTGATGCTGCACAGTGGAGTTATGGAAACAGCTCCAGCCGACTGCCTCTGAAACAACTTGTACACAGCACATACCAAGGGGCAATCTGTGACATGCTAGTGCTATATGAACCAACTCAGGACTCTGAGGAGCACAGGGACTGGTCTCCTGCTCGGACTCTGAGGAGCACAGGGACTGGAGGGACTGGTCTCCTGCTCGGACTCTGAGGAGCACAGGGACTGGTCTCCTGCACGGACTCTGAGGAGCACAGGGACTGGTCTCCTGCTGGTGCCCAGAGTCAGGACCTAAACATGAGGAGGCAGCATTTGAGATTCATGCAGCTAAAATATGAAATAGTCTTCCTGGCAATGTGAGACAGGCTTCTACTCTGACAATGTTCAAATCCTGGTTAAAAACAACTCTCTCTGCCTGTGCATATACAACTGAAGGATTTTATCTTTACTCTTTTTAATGTACCGTGACTGCTCATGATTGTACTGCCTTGTGGGAGTTTGATGTTTCCTTTCTTGTTTGTTTTAAGCATTTTGAATTGCCTTGTGTTTTGTTTTCCTAATTCAAAAGTTACCAGCTAAAAACACAGCCATTTGTAAATAAATAAATACATTATAATAAGAAACTGCAAAACTAATTCATGGGTAATCAATACATTTGTTTGAAAAAGCAAAAGACAGAAACCTCCCCATTCATTTCAGTTGTGTTGAATAGTGAAAACTGAGTTGGCCTTGGGATAAAGACATGTAATTGATTTGATTAAGTGATTGATTATAAAATGACAGGAATAAAATATACAATAAAATGCAATATATTTCTACAGATTGTTTCAGCTCCTATCATTTAGAGAGAACTAGTGCAGTAGCTAAGCATAGGAAAATGTTAAGTAAGATATTGTGATGTGAACTTTACCCACTTCAATGATTTAAGAATATGAATTATGATTATTACTCACATTTAAAAACAATTGAAAATCCAATCTAAAAATCACCCATTTCTTGACTTACACCTCATCTGAAACACACACACATGAATACTTTTGTACCAAACGTTACAGATTTCATTGAAAAACCTGTAATCCCCACACCCCAGCTTTAAACCATACACAGATACACTACACTGTGGCTGCGAGATTCTCAATCAAAAGCAGTCCACAGCGACTTTCAACTGTTTCCAATCAAGTAATCAAAATGAAAAACCCATTCGTTATATGGCTTGTACGACACCTCATATCTGAGAAGCTCACATCTGGAAATTGCTCTTCTATTTTTAACAAACTCTCCGGTGCAGCGTGCGCCTGGGAGAAGCCGATTTTCCGTAAAGGGCGGAGTGTCCAAGACTTTATTAGCCACAGCTTGAGTCTGTTCATCTGCTCTGTCTCATGGATCCTCTTCTGGGAGCTTTTAACAGCGGAGACATGTTTTGTTCATAGCCTTAGTTAATTTGCAGGACATCGAAAACCCCCCAGACTCACCCCTGAACTCTAGTCCCGACGCAAAAAAAAAAAAAAAAACTCCCATTTCTCCGCTTTTGCATTGAGCTCCCCATATGTTTCACATCACAGATCCAGCGGCAGGGCTAATTTACTGTGCGGGGAGAGGAAAGTGTCTTCTCAGCACTTGGTTTTACCCAGATCCTGCTTAGCTCGGGCCCCCCACCACCACTAACACCCCCCCACCCACCCCTCCCCTTCTTGCCCCCTGCCCCTCGTCTCCCCCGACACACAGCGCGGTGCCAGTGCGTGACATCACCGCTCTCATCTCCAGTAAAACGTCAAAGCCGGAGCAGCGCGAGAACACAGCGATGGATTCCATATGTCCAATACCAAGCAGAAGGATACAGCTCTATGCTTTCTATTTTCTTGTCTATCTCTCTATGTTTTTCATTGTAGACAATAAGACGTTTCAGACAAGGGGCGATACAGTGAAGACATTACTGCTATTCACTGTATTAAAGCTGGGGTACCTATGTTTTTCAAACTTTTAAACCACAGCAAAGGAACTATGAAAAAAGTTCTTGGCTCAAAAACGGTTTTCTTCTCTCACTTGTTTCCACATGGATGTACTTTTGGCCTCTGTCACATCTTTGGATCAGCTTTTTCAGAAAGTGCAGCATAAAAGATTGAAAAAGACCTTCACTCAGCCCAAAACGTTAAATAGCGACTCACAGGGCTCTGAGGCTGCAAAAGGTATAAACGTTTTCTATTGATCAAACAATTTCTCATTCACAAATCATCTATCATTTATAATTTATTTATGAATCAAAATTAGTTAGGTAACCCAACTTTAAAGCTATAGGTGTCAAAATATAGCCTCAAGGAATGTTTTTTTTTGCTTGTAATGAGGTGCTAGCATTTGAAAGAAAAGTCAGTAAATACATTAGAGACCTTGCTAATATTTTCTCATAGACATTATATATCTATATCTATATACATAGACATTATGGCCCAGCCCAAGTTCTCTCGAGTGATTTTGTTGATTTTACAGTATTTATATATTCGTCCTGGATACCTGCAAATAATCTGTAGGATTTTTATTTTTATTTTTTGAGAACAAATACATTTTACCATTCTTTGTGACTCGTGAATGGACATTACTCTAAGGACTGCTATAATTATTGTGCTATTCAAAAATTGCCTAGGATGTGTGAACAAATCCGGTTCAGCTTTTAAATGAGCAAATATATAAATAAACCAAACTTATTCTGTCTTTGTGGAGCTAAAACACCCGATTTCAAAAGACACCGTTGCATCAGTGTTTAACCGATATAATTTGTCAGGGACTTATTATTGATTGTGTAAAGATCTCTTTCCAGGCCTTGGTATTGCTTCAGAGCGGCTTGAATCAACAGGTGTCTGATTTTCCATTGCAGAAGATTAAGAGTGGTTTAATCGTGAGCGTTTTCTGTGGCTTTAGGAGCTTTGAGTTCTGTGGGCAGAGCGTCGGGGAAAACCCAGCAGCAAATCCACGCAGGAGGCAGAAAGTCATGCATCTACTTTACTGTATTCAGACAAACAATGTGGCAGCTGTTTATCACACAGGGTTTTTGTTATGAAGGGAACATGGTTTTTTCTTTATGGAATGTGGATTTTCAGTAATTAGTTAAAGCTGCATTATTGATTTTTTTAGAGCCACTGAAGGATGTATATGTAAATCTATACACTACATTATAATTGGAAAATACGAGGATAATTCTTATAAGAGAAAAGGCACAAATAGCATGCAAGAATCCATAGAAAATTGCGTATTTACACAGTATTCAGAAATGTATGTATTTATGGTCAAAATAGCTATTTTTGACTTCACTGAATAATAAACAAACACATAAAGGACATATTATGCAAAATCCTATTTTTGACTTGAATCCATTTTACATTATTCCCTAATTAAAAACTTACCTGAAGCTGTTTTTAGTTTCTTATCATTGCATTTCCTGCATTAGAATGGTTTGATTATTTGATCTGCTGTTGGTGAATCAACAACTTCATAAAGTCCTCCGAGACGAGAGGAATTAGGTCTACGGGAAAATAAATTTAATTGAATCGAGTTCCATGCACACTCATATCAGAAACTACTGAGTACCGATCATAGACTGTATATATTAACGGACAGAGTCACCCCTATCTCCGCCGTTCTAACTAATGGCCCAAAAAATGTGCTCTACTGGAGCTACCTAAAATGGCCAGGAGTGGTCCCGCCCACAAGAAAATTGTGAAAAAACGCATCTGCGCATGCGTCAGCCGGAGCAGCTCCATTCATTTGAACGAGAGACTTCAAAAATTCACAGCGACTAAACTAGAGTGGACCAGAACACCCCCCTCAGCATTGACACACATGTGGAACGGAGCTTTGGGCCAAGTGCCAACTTTTGGTCCATCCTGTAAAGACGTTTTCCAGAGGTCTGCCAATGCTATATGTTAGCATTGGCTAATCCTTCTTCTGGGTCCACCCCCATCGGCCCGGGGTGGTATTGCAGCATGTCAGCGCACTTCATTTTGGCCACTTTTGAGCTGGGACCCTCCCACACTGGTACCGATTGGCGAAAACATGACCCTTCTGTCAAAATACCCACATCTCAAACTCAGACTATGACATCACAGAGCCGTGTTCTGCTTTGTCATCAAACGTATTTTCTCCAAAATTAGTCCAGGTAATTCTTCCCGCCCAATATGTAAACAACAGCATGTTTACACAGCGGGCAGAAAAAACATCCCACGTCTGCCTCTAGATGGGGGCGATTTACTACTCTAGAACATTTCTTTAAGATTTTATACATGTTAATCTACATATTCTTTACTTAGTCTTTTTTGGCTTCCTAAATAATACATGTTGTTTGTTGCAGACCACATAATGCTGCTTTATATTAAACTATATACTTACAGTAGCTTTAAGTTCAAAGTGTCAAATAGTGATTCACAGGGCTATTTCCTGATTTGTTGTTCCCTCTTTTTCACTTTTTTGTCAGAAAAGCCAATCTAAAGATGTAAAAGAGGCCACAAGTATATATACATAAACTAGTGATAGAACCAAGAACTGTTTTGAGGGATAGAAACCAGTTTGACGGGTTTATTATATAGTTAATGTTGGTATCGCAGCTCTAATATACATTCTAGATCCCCATTAGTCATGTACAGTATGTGGGAGATGTGAGCTTTTCTCTTGCCTTTACTCTCTTCAACATTTACGAGGCGGGTTCTGTGTCTGGTGAAACTCAATGATAATTTTCTTTCCCATCTGCTCTGGCTCTGCAGTCCTGGATCTCACTCTCTGACCATCGGAGCTTCTGCCACAGGTTTGGGTTTGGCTCGTCTCCAGTCAGCGGCCTCACACTCCCAAAGCATCATGGGAACATCCTGTCTACTCGGGGGTCGACCCAGACTCACGCACACGCCCGGGACACGCACCAATAAATAATCCATCCACATCAATGGGAGATGCTCAAGGCTTTCCATTTGGTTTCAGATGCACTCCAGGCATTTAAGTGCATGTCACTCCTGCTGGGAACGAGAGGAAGACCTACCTCAAAGATGCTCCATAACTTAGCTCAAGAAAATACCCATTAAGCTGAGACCGTGCATGCAAAACAGGACCAGTTGGAGCTGAAACATAATTCAATCTGAGGTTCTGAACCTTCTTTTTCTTCACAAATACCAGATTTTCCCATTGTCTCAACAGAAAGTAAGTCTTGTAAAAGCAAAATGTTGGGATTCACCATTAGTCACCACTAGTCCAGCTTTGAGGTGAGAGCTGGATGGCCAAGTGAGGGTGGTCCTCTCGATTCTGAAAAAGATCTAAACATGTGACCGAGGCCAAAATGACGTGAAACTAGTGATGGAAAAGATATGGTTTTTGAGCCAATATAGTTTGATGGATTATGGATCTATTCAACTACATGGATTATGGATTATATTACATCATTCAAGTTTGTGTGGTTTAAAGGTGAAGGTGAGAAATTCCATCTAACCAGTTTGAACAGCTTTCAAAACAGTTGGCTAATTTTACTAGTTTTGACATGCATGTATCTTTGGCCTCTGTCACATCTTTCGATCAGATTTTTTCTGGCAGAAAAGTGTTAAAGACAGGACCACCCTCACCCTCAGCCAATCAGCTCTCAGCCCAAAGTGTCCATTAGTCAACCTCCGAGAAAATACAAAAGATACAATATTTGTTCTGTCCCATCTTTTTCCATTGGGAACAGTGCCATTAAAAAAAAAACTAAAACGCACTTTGATCATAAAGGTTTGGACGCTGCTGCTCAATAAACCAACCAGGCTCTATTCCTGGAAACTTCCCAGAGTTGATTCCAAAACGTTTATCCAAGAACTACCATTTCTTGATTAGAAGAAGGAGAGGCCTGGAGGGCTCAGGGGCTCAGTGCCGTAAGGCGTATTAAGTAACACATTTTTTGCATCAGCCAAGTGCCTCTGACTATTTTAAGCTACCATTAGTTGTTGTCATAAAACAAAAAAGGGTGTAAATACTTTTTATTTTCCACAAGTTCTGTATATAAATTGAAAGCATGTAAAGCCTTTATGCGCATACGGACATTGAACCGACCTACAGTATATCCCTCTTCGAACATTAATACACTTTATTTGGCCTCGGTGTGTAATAATGTTGACGCAACTGCATCACAAGTGCAATCGCATATGGAATCTTTTTATCGGTTCAATGGTTTGACTTGAATCCAATAAGATAACACAACACGATCGCACCCATGAGGCCTTTGGTGAGAGTGGGAATACTTTGAACCACTTGCCTCACAGCCAAAGAAAACCAGTTATACTTAAATAATGAAATATCTTTTTATTGTCTGTGCAAGTCTAGATCTAGCGTTTTGTGATACAACATCAATCAATCAATCAACTTTATTTGTATGGCGCCTTTCCAACACAAGGCCACTCAAAGCGCCTCACAACCCACATAGTATCACACAAATCAGAGACATCAATAAATACATTAAAAACAGAATAAAATCACAAATAATGGAAAAAAAAAAATATATATTAAAAGCACACACGGGATTAAAATAATAAATAACCACAATGCATTAAAAAAAAAAGAGTATGTATCAATAGAATCCTTCAGCCGTATGCACAGCTAAAAAGAACAGTTTTTAGCCCCGATTTAAAAATTGCCAGAGTAGATGCTAGCCTCACATCTTCAGGAAGATTGTTCCAGATTTTAGCTCCATAAATCTCAAACGCTGCCTCCCCATGTTTAGTTCTGACTCTTGGAACCAGTAAGAGGCTACCTCCTGTGCTCCTCAATTCAAGCCATCAGACATTGGCTTGAATTGAAGCAGACCAGTCGTA